CTAAGTATGAATAATCACTTGGCGCAATAAATATTTACTTTTGAGTGGATTTTAAAAGACCATATTATGCACATCTATGTAAGAAAAAAAATCCACATCTATGTAAGAAATAACTTTTGTAAACAATGCAATGAGACAATACAGACATTAGCAGCTCGTTTCTTGCTGAAAATTGCAACAAATCTATACCAAAAGAAAGTAACCATGCACGTTACATCCATGCAAGTTGTGCAAAATATGAATGTTAATTTGTTGTGTCCTTTTGCAGAAGATTCTTACCAGCAACAAGCTGTAATTGATGGTGTACCCGCACTTTTAGATATTTTAGATACTGCTGGACAGGTAATTATATATGTTGACACGAAATTATTCAAACAGTTACAAAGTTATTTAATAATTTGTAATGATATTCATAGATGTTATTTGATTGATCAGTATAGAATGTATTTTTCGCGTTTAGGTCGAATTTACGGCGATGCGTGACCAATACATGAGATGTGGGGAAGGTTTCGTGATTTGCTATAGCGTAACAGACCGTCACAGTTTCCAGGAGGCATCTGAATACAGGAAACTTATCCAAAAAGTACGCGCTTCTGAAGACACTCCAATAGTTCTAATAGGCAACAAATTCGATCTTCATTTACAGAGAAAAGTTACTACAGAAGAAGGTACGTTCATTTTCGGCTCCATTTTTTGTACGGTTGTCGCAAAATCCTCAAGTTACTGTTGTAAGCAGTTAATATTCATAACATTCTTTGAAAAATGTGCTTGAAAAGATATAAATAACACTTTTTAGTTACGAACGATAAATTAAACCAACACAATTTGGTGATTTTTTAAAAATTTGACTATTGTTGATTCCTGATTGATTGTTTGACTATTAGCTAATGATTAAAATGCGAATGACTATTATGTATTTCAATTTTAATAATTTAGTTCTTCAAGGATGTTTTAGAGGATAAAATTGAGAACACCTTTTTTTTCTTGACACTTCACACAAATCAATCTGAAATAAGAAAACTGAAATCACGGATGGCAATGTTGATTGTAGGTCAATTTCTGGCTCAGCAATTTAATTGTCCATTCTACGAAACTTCGGCCTGTTTGCGATCATACGTGGACGATGCTTTTCACTCTTTAGTCCGACAAATTAGAAAAAAAGAGGAGAGTTCAGGACTATACAGCAACGAACGAAAACTTCGACGACACAGTAAATGGTGGCGATTACGAAGTATTTTTGCGCTGGTTTTTAAACGAAAACGACCCACGAATTCTAGTTCGTAAATCTTTTTATGACTGCAATATCATTTTTTTCCTGGTAAGAACTCGTTTTGAGGATTGGAGCTGTGGATCCGAGCTTTCAATTTGATGATTTTCTTTGAGATCTTTTGTTCATTGAATTTCTTGAATAAAATGAACGAAGTATTGACACGAAAAAGAAAGTGACGTGAGGATCCAACAGTTTTGCTTTTAATGCTTGCTTGCTAAACGAAATCTATTTTAACATTCCTACGCGAATATACGATCTGAACTGCCATTTTGTTTAATAGAATTCTTTTTACCATATAACAAGCCTGTTTCCTGCGTCGATATTTTGAAGTAAAAGTTGGTTTTGAAGAGCTAATTACTATATATACACAATATAAATGAAAATCAAGAGTACTCTCTTATTAATAAAATTGTAATAAGTAATCGTTTAACAGTCCTTTTAGGATTCGCAACAAAGTCTTAATTTACGTAATTTAGCTATTCGTGAACAAAGGCTTTTTTTACTTGAAAGTGTCGAACCTTGAAACGTAACTAGTCAGCTTTAATAGTTAAAAATCTCATTATATCAGGGAGGCTATCAATAGTCCTTCGACTTGAATCGAATATGTTGTTACAAAAGCAGTATGAAACTCGCTCCAATTATTTTTCGTAGCCATTAGTAATAATAGAGCTTGTAACTTGTAATTGGCCGTAGTTTAATAGGAAAATAATAGCATTTTATTAATTTACATTAAAATTTCGTTAAAATGAAATGTTTCGACCAAAATATAAAATTGTTACCAGTAATCAGAAAATGACCATTCTGAGACCAAAAATGTTGCATTTGTATGTAGGAAAAGTATTACGTAACTGATTCTTTTGGTATTATTAGTTTTAAGCATTATTAGAAGCGGAATGAATTGTACGAGCTTTAAATATTAGCTTAATAACATATAATGATAGGAATTGTCTATGTCACTCTTGGTTCAAATAGGAAGCCGGACAAACATTTTAATTAACTGAAATGAGGAGCCTTTCGTGTGATTTCGGTTGTGCGTGCAGTTGTTTTGAATTACATCCAACGACATAGACAAATGCGTATTTTAAGCTGAAAATTAAAATGATGTAATATAATGTATCATATTATGATAAAATATTGCTGTTAGAGAGGTTTACTGATTTATTTTTATCGTTTTTATTTGTACAGTACGTAGTTTATAAAGATTTCGTAAGACAAATTTCACTTTTCTAGTCATTTATGTTTAGAGGCTTTATTGCGGTTAGTGATAACAAAGATTTATATTTACAATTCTTATTATTTGAGGTATTTGCCTCAAGAAAAAAGATTCGATCGGGTTGTTGAAAAGATTGATATTTAATTGGGAATTGTGTAATCTGGTAATCCCACAATATAACTTAGAAACCTATTTTCGATGTAGATGACTTAGAAAGTTAATATTTCTAAATAGATTTTCGCGTTTGAACTACATATATGAAGTAATTCTATGGGATTAATAGTTTTTTTGTTTATAGAAAATAGACAAGCAAAGCAATAACAAATCGAAAATCTTATAAAGTCAAACATTAATTTATTGGTTGCAATTGCAAATAACTATGCCGTTTAAGAATCCAACAGGGTGTTTAATTTTGCGTTGTACACTCGAAATGTTCAATCACATATACCTGATATCATTTTCAATCAGCGAGATTGTCTTTTGGACATAAGGACAATCATTTATATGTTTATTAAATGTAACAAAATGTGTTTGTTGCGTTCGATATATTTTTATGTAGAAGTAAACCCGAAGTTGTTTTATCAGGAATGTACGTGTTTAAGTTTCAATTTTTATTTTTATGCTTTTATCACAGTGTGACATTCAAACTGTAGACATATTAAACATTTATCCATAGCTAAATAACTCTTGGGATGGTTGATAACAGACGAAAAAATGATTAGTGACTTTTATAAATATGTTTCGCCCCTCTTTTAAATGAAATAAACAGCACTGATTACATTTTTGTGTTTACTTCTACAATTATTGAAAATCTCGCCTTTCGCATTGTGTTTTGTATCAGTTTTGATTGCAATCTAACTAAATGTAAGGTAATTAGTAAAATAAAATAGGTGAGACAAATATTAAGCAATAACCATAGAGGTACGTTTCAAAAGAACTGTATAAATATACCTTAGAATATTAAAACTGTTGAGTGGTTCTAATATTAGGCAAATACGTATATTAATTATGAAATTGAATTAAACAGTTATCAAAATCAGCTTGAATGCAATATTTTGTTGTAAAACTCTTTAGTTTATTAATTTTTGTTGCCTTTGTTGCCAATCTGTGAGTGACTATGTTTTATCGAATTGCTGCTAAGTATGTTTATCTTAAGTCATAGTTGTTGAATGCTAGTGCGCGCACCATCAGGTGCACTATTCAAATATATTTTATCGGTTATAAACAATTTTTTGCATTGTGTTTTATTCCAGATGAAAATTTTTTCAATAAAATGGTGTATTCGAATGGATAATTGCATGTCAACTGTTATCAACAGAGGCTATAAAACTTATAAACTCTATAAAATAGTAGCTGTTCAATAGCACATTATGAGAACTTAAAAAATGCTTTTTAGAAGACTAACAAAATTGCTAAATTGATCATTTCGAAATGCTGCATTTTCATAAATTTTCGATGTTAATGTGTTTGAACCGCCTGTTTTTTGAAATTTGTAAAATGCGCCGGAAATTAATGGAAAATTAAGAAATTTGATGATCATTATGAAGAATAAATGATAAATGTATTTGGTTGTGATGGAGCTCAAATTGAAATAATTTCCGCAATTTTTGAAAACGAAGTACTGGAAAATTATGTGCATAGAAAGGAAGATTGAAGATTTATTTTGTACTTTAATTTGATTTTTTACATCGTTTAATTCTGGACAAGTTGCCATGTAGGTATATTAAAACCATTAAGAAATTAAGTTCTGGAATAAGATGTTTGACTATTCCAAGGCAAATAAAATAATTGGTGTTATTATTATGAAAAAGTTTTATTTTCATTTTATTTCCGGTTTAATATTCTTTGTCTTCCACTGGTCTAATGCCAGTTTTAAAAATGCCTTTTCCTCATTGCTCGCAAAGGAGTACTCGATAGAGTTGTTGCATATTTCCCATAACTTCAACTGGCTACATTTGAAATTGTCGTAAAGCAACTGAAATTCATTTGATAGTGTTGTCTTGAATACTCCCTTGTCGTCGGTCTGAAATATAATAATTTTAAGAAAAATTTGTTAACTTGTAAAGGAAGTAGATAAGTGCTATGAATGCAGCAATTCAAATGCTTTATTGTCGGGATAAAATGAGTCTTAAGGAGAAATTAATATTTTCTTCGATTTTAAACTTGCATGCAGTTTTTGTTTTAATCATATCACTCTATTTTGAGGTAATTGTACTGAAACACCCTGTATGGTGTAGATATTTGTTTGAACGCAAAACACAAAAAAATACTCACTGCAATAGAAAATGGTAGCTGTTCCTTAATCCATTCTTGAACGTGATGTTTATCATATGAAGTCGCCGATAAACATATTACGTTGGAAGTCATACAACACTCTAAATCGAAAATCACACATTTATCGATAAGTTCTTTTTATCTAGTGCCTATTTTGTATCTACTAAAGTTTTCTTACCAACTGGAATGTTTTGTGCTAGATACAATTTCCATATTTCCGCGCTACCTCCATAGTTGGGATGGAGGAACGTGCCATGGCCGAGTCGATCCGGATTGAATTTCAATATTTCAAGAACTTCATCGTCGTTTTTCAGTTCCGCGCAGTGAATTGCTTAGGAAACACCAAAGCATATTTAACTAGACCTTATTGGAGATCGAATGTTACTCTACCTGTACGCAATCCGTTTTCTCGAGCCTTCACAAATAAATCATTAAAAAACTTCCCTTTAGCAGGATCTCCGCTCAAATCTACCCCTTTAATCAAATTGGGGTATTGATTTTTGTACTTGATAATCACATCTAAAGTTCTGGCTTGTTCCTCTTTCGCCTTGCTTCTGTCCAACGACAAAATAAGCTTGACCATAATTTTAGAAGATTCATTTTCTTGAATGGCTTTGATAACCGTATCAATGTACTGATCTAGCGACATGGTTTCTTCGGAGCGTGGAGTTGTTCTCAGTTCAAGATAAACTACATTATCTTCAGCAAATTCTTCGATAACACTCCTGGTAGCCTCATAGAGATTTTCCATGTTATTTGTTGCTTCATGGGCAATTTTGAATACGCTGAATACTTCCTTTAAATCGGTGTTGATTGTTTGGTATTTGTCAATAGACTCTTCGAAACATCCTAGTTTCTTCAGAGTGGAACTGCTTAGTGATCCGTTAAGATGAGCGTGTAATTCCTTCGAATAAGAATTTGAGCATCAAGAGTAGGGTATTTTTAGTTCATATTCAAGTATTGGGGCACATATGTGGAAGGACAAATCGGGATAAGACAACTCGAGGTATGTTATTGAAGTTGAAGATGGAAAGAGATTGCGACAATGAGGCACCAATATTCTTCCTGGTGCGACGAGAATCTCATTTATCCTTCATATAAAGAATATGGCTCAGTACGCGGGATGATGAAACAAGCAAGTGCAAAATCTGAAGATCCAGGGTAAAGCTGTTAAACTACTGAAGAAATGGCTTCTGTACACTAAAATCGTATAATTGCCTCTCGTTACGTCTTACAACAGTAGAAAAGCTCTTACGAACAGTGTCGATAGTAACAGCGATAATGGCAATAAATTGAAATGAAGATGGTAAAGTAACTCCTAGACCTAATTAGTTATTTTTTATGCTCAACATTAAGAGGATATAATGAAGTATTGGGTTTGTTTCTTAATTATTATCATCTGAAACAGCGAATGAAACTACAGACGAAAATTTTTCAAACCGGTTTCCATTCCCTTTAAATTCATACACACATTCCAAAATATTTGTTTTGCATTAAAGAAAACCAGAAACTTTTTAGCAGCAGACATTTTTCAAAAACATTTATTTACCTTCACACAAATTGTAAATACAATATTTTTTGTAAAAACAAGAGTTTGACCATTTTTGAAACCGTGTGATAGTGTATTTATGGTTTTTGTAATCCCTCATTTTCTCTTTTGATTAAAGGCAAAGTTTTTTTTTAAAGACTGTGTAGGTCAATTCTTTGGGTATTTTGTCTACAGGGAGTTGATTTGATGAATATTACTCTGTATTTTTTAACGTTCATCTTCTGGATTTTTATTTCCTTTATTTTATGACTAGTGCTTTCCTTAACTATTTTATCTGTATTGTCCAAAATGTCAAAATGATGTAGCATTTCGTGTCCATGTTTTGTTAACGCATTTTTTTTCTTTATTTCACTATTTCTCACCTGTATTGTTATTGTGTATACTTTCCTGACTGTGTTTCAATTCCAAATCAAATTAGTTTCTGGGTTTTAGTCATTTATTGTCTCTATTTATCAATCAAAATACGTTTCGGTGTATTTTTTTACCATCGTCAGTTTTTATGTGTAGCGTTGTTGCAGCTTTAAGCCTTGGCATTCATTTGGCTGCTTTAAGCCTTGGCAAGCATCAAATGCTACACATAAAAACTGATGATGGAAAAATACAGCGAAACGTATTTTGATTGATAAATAGAGACAATAAATGACTGAAACCCAGGAATGAATTTGATTTGTATTTTTATTTACACATATTTTATTATTTTTGTTTAATTCGACCCGATATCCGGAGAGTCTGTTTTGTAGGAGATCTAATGACGGTTTAAACTTTTCATTTTTTTCTCATCACTCATTTTTTTTACCACTCATTGAGTTCTTTTAAGAAATAAAAAACCTGCTCACACTCTTATGTGCCAAGTAAGCGGAAGAAGTGGTGGGTAGTATGATGTTTTAAGCAGATCATATTAAGTTAAAGGCAAATACAGACAAGCAACGTTAGAGATTTAGAAAATTTGATATCAGGAGATTAGAGAAGTTTAGGTTGGTTTTCTAAATTTTATGGTCAACGTCTGCTTAGGATCAGATTGTTTTAAGCCAGAAGCATTTGGCTATTTTTGTAACGTTGATCTCTAATCTGAACTCCATGTCCATGTCAAGATATATAAAATATTATTATTTGCGTTATTATATCAGTTATTAAAATTCTGTGTTATCTCGAACAATATCCGGTTCTTGAGGGTTTAAATTACGCAAATAAAACTTTAACTGCAAAATCCAGAAAAACGATCTCCACTTAAAATAATTGACATTCTAATAAAAAAATGTCCATTAATCTCATTCACATCAGAGAACATTGAAAAAAGTATTCCTCTAATTAACCTCAAAAATGTAGAAACTCCTTTAGGTCATCATTTAGCTTCGTAAATCTCCACGAGTTGATGTTAATCACATGGTGAGCCTACTATTCGTCTAGATAATAAAGGTTCCACGCTCTACACTTACTTGTGCAAACATGCCAGATAAAGTTTCGGCCAGGTTTGTTGATCCAATTAAGTTTGAAAGGGGGCTAGAGGAGTGCTATTTAAATATACTCACAATTTTGGGAAGTTTACGGCAGAACGACTCCATTTCGACGGGTTTTGAAGTTGAAAGGCTGGCCTTACAAACCGATTTGCAAGTTATGTGGAGCATTACATTTGCACTATGCGGCGAAGTCAATTTTATATTTTTTACAACGTTTGCAGATTTATCCAGTCGATTTTAAACAGTTGACGCGAAAAAAGGGATTCTAACGTAAAGCACAAAAAACTGCGTGTTCTAAAGACTGATCAAAATGCATTGGTAAATCTTTTTCGAAATAGAAAAAAAAACGATTGAGATTTGAGAACAACCAAGCAATGATTCTAAATTGCCAAGTTTCATACCGTCATTAGATAGGTGAAATTATTTTTGAGTTTCACTTGGCTTAATTATCAAATTTCGCTTTAAATATGTTTTATTGCCTGAGAAAAATTTATGGACAAGACTGAACTAATGACAATAGTTTTAAACCTCTACATTAACGAGGTCTTTTAAAATCGTCACTTTAATTGTCATGTTAAACGAAGATTTTGTTCTTCTGATTCTAAAAAAAGTTTCAATTTAAAAAAATTCACCAAAAAAGTGTAGTCATGATTCTTAGAAAAAATGTCATTAGCGAAATACAATTTGCATTTCATAAAAAACTGCCCAACAAAATCAACGTTATACTCACAAATTTGGACCCAATTTGGACCTGGATAAATTATGATTCCTGCAAGGGATTCTATTTCTGTTTGAAGCATTATTTAGTGCAATTCGCTTCCGGTTAGTGAGTGTTTTTGCAAAAATCAGTGCTTTCGATAAATTTTTTAAAGGGTGGCAAATGAAACACTGCAAATTTGGTGAACGTTCCACATGCTCACAGTTGAACAAAAAACATTTTTTTAGAGTGGGTTTAAAAAAATTCAACTTGTTGGTATTGCAGTGATAAATGCTTTTCTTTGAACCGATTAGCAAAATCTAAAGCTTATGCTGAAGTTAAACTCTCTCGCAGTGGACTTTCGAAAATAAATTAAATATACCAGGTTGCATGAATGAACAAAACATTTAAAAGTAAACTTCACTTAGTTGCAAAATCTCTAGAGTCACTGATGCTGGGCAATTGTGATGCATCTCTGTATATTGAATTTTTGTCTTAAGTCGACTAGGATGTTTTAACTTCAACACAAGCTGAATATCGTGAAAATCCGACAAAGACCAGAAAAGTTATCGCTGAAAGACCAAAAAGTTGATTTTTTGAGACCATMCTGTTAATAGAAGAAATKACCTRAAATTCAAAAACTATTAGAGCTATTTGGTCCATATTTAAACTTYTGGTGTGGAGRCACTTTATTTGTCCAACTAGGAGCATATCGAAATTTTGCATTTTATCACTTGCCACCCTGTAGAAAATTTATCTGAAGTGCTTAATTTTTACCAAAATACTGACCAGCAAAAAACAAATAGGGCTAGACAACGCTTCAAACAGAAAGCAAATCGCTCTGAGCAATCAGAATTTATTCAGTTCCAAAGTTGGGGCAAATTTGGCTGTGCAATGTTCATTTTGTTGAGCCGTTTAATTAAGGATTATTCCGTAAGTACGTCATACGCTAATTGGTTTGAAAGTTTTCAGAAATATGTAGTTAAAAATCTACAAATAAACTTGAATAAAATAAGAAAAATCTAAAATAAGAAAATATGTTTTAAGACATAAAACAACAAATGTTGAGAATTAAATCGTTTTCAAATCACATTAAAATATGCTTTAATGTCACAAAAATATTTCAATTACTTTTACACAAGCACCGATACAAAACCTAACAGATGAAACAGTAATGAACATCACAAAAAATCCATCAAATTGTTGTAGCATTTAGCATTGTAGCAAAGAACTGCAAGTAGGGTTGTGCTATAAGGAACGGATCGTGATGGTATCCATTTGGTAAATATGTATAATAGAAAAACGGTCGAATTTAGATAAGATAAAATATATTAGTAAACTTGAATTTTTGGTGAACTTGAGCCCATTCGATTCTCTGCTCTCTTAATAAATGGCAAACTATTTACTGTAGAAGTATTTACTGTAGAAGAAATAAAGCAATAAACTAATCGATTGATGACTTTGATCGGTTAAAAATCGATTAAAATTTGTAAGTTTCATTTACTCTCAGCAACCACAAGCAAAACCCATTCACCCTGCAAATGTGTTACTGAAATATTTATTGATCGAAAAAATCTATTCACTTTTAAAATCAAATATATGAATATATGTATTTACTTTAGTATGTATAATGTAAAGTTTCAAAATATTCGGTTAAATTTAATTTCCTCTTTAATCTAATTTTTACTTGTTTGGGACATATTGAATGTAAAAAGTATTCTTTGATAGAAAGTTAAATTATATAATGCCAAATGGAAATGTTAGTTTGATGTGCCAAGAGTTCCTAAGGCCTTTAGTCGATCTTCGGAACCATAGATGGAGACAAGTGTTCCGAACTTGGCCGGAGATTTTGATGCAAAGTTGTTCTTTGTTAGGTGGAATCGCTGACGATTCTCCCATAGAATAAACATGCGCAATATCGCTAGTCTGGTGGCCCCGTCGTCCGCTTTCGAGGTGATTAATTTACTGATAAAAGTTCGGCACTGCTTGCTGTTTAGTTAGAGTTATAGTTTGGTTTGTTAGTTATGTTGTTATGTTTTAGTTATGCGCACTGTTATAATCCGCGCGCCAAGTACATGCTGAGGCAAGAGAACAACGCTGATTTTAAAATTTAAACGAATTTAAACTAATAAATTCTGCAGACAATTCCATTAGAATTTTTTAACTGTTAAGTTGCGTCAATTGCAAAATTAGTCGCTGTATTTAATGCTAATGCATTAGTATTTTACGTTTGCTGAGGAAAGAGAAAATATTCAGAAATATAATTTTCATATCAAATCATATCAAACTCTAACAGGGATCAAATTAGCATTTGCAAGAAAAACACCAATAAATGACACAAACACAACAACAAAAAATGTTAAAGCACAAAATTTTACTTAGAATTTGAAAATGAAAAAATCCTAGCCATAATCCATAATATCCCTCGTCGAATAAAAATATGCAAGAATAGCATAAAATATAAATCAACAATTTTGCACGAAAAGCTCTAAAACTTACCGAAAGCTGCATCGTTCCACCTGCAAAGAAAGACCAAAATATGTTTAGTACAGAAGGAAATTTGTTCCAAACCATTAAGAATAAAAAATGTAGAGAATGCATAAAGCTCAGTTGCTTTTCGAAAAATTAAACTCAGTTCAAACTGAAGAAGTTGTAAATCAGAAGAAATCCATACCAGCTTTCTGCAAGCTGGCACCCCATCCTCCATTATCTATCGTTAATGCTCAAAAGGCCCACACGGCACTTAAACACTCGATGAAAGTCCACTTTGAATTGAAAACTTTAATCCTACCGCACACACTAAATTTAAATTACTTAAACTATACTTTTTATACAATAACGCGATCCACACTACATAAACAACGCGTGACCTGTTGGAAAGCTGTAAGAAAACTCTAATTAGTGAAAAATTACATTTAAAAAAAGTGACTTGGTGCACCTGAAAAATAGCATCTTAACGAAATATGTAATGGATTTAACACCATACCGATAGTTCAAGGTAGAAGCAAACTTGCCAAGCGAAAAACCTAGAAGCTTGATTAAAAACTACAGATAGTTTCAAAATGGACCATTATTACTTATTCATAAGGTACCTAGGAAAGAGAATATTAGCGAAAGAAGCAATAAATATCCAGAAAAGGCCCTATGAAACCTGAACGGTTGAAAGCTAGCTATAAAATAAACGGTTATTAGTAAATAGAAACATTTTGTACAAAAAGTAAACATGTTTTACTTGAAAAAGTTTTCACATTTACAAATTAAGTAACCAAATGAAATAATAAAATATGAATAGTTCAAAGCAGCAGAAAAGTGTTTAAAAAATTAAGAAGTAAATAGGAAACAAAAATAAGTGGGCAGTCATTTGAAAAAAGATTATTTAGGGCAGCAAAGAGAAAATGGAAAATAACACACTTTTAACGAAAAGCTGATATATTCACATGCAATAAACAATAAAAAATGCAATTATTCGGACGGATTCCAGCCCCTGAAATTCCCTATCACGAATCGTTCAGCAAAAAAGAATTTGTTTAAACTTTAAAATTTGGAAAAAACAGCCCGAAATCTAAATGGTTTCGCCAGGATCACAGGCAACGTTTTAACGTGCTATCCTCCAATAATGCAATAAACAACAAATAGCAATAAACAATAAAAAACTAAATTATTTGGGCGGATCCTAGCCCCTGAAAATCCCTACCACGAATCGTTAAGCAAAAAATAACTTGTTTAAATTTTTAACACACAGGTGATTTGATCACCTGTACCAAATGTATACTTATGCATTATACATAAATATATACAATATACCATAATAATTTGAATAACAGCGCAAAATCTGAATGGGTTGGCCAGGATCACTCACGGTAAAAGTAATACTTAACTTACCAAAAGCTGTCAACTAATGAAAGCTGATGGTCAACCGTTCGCGCTTAAATGGCACTAAAATGGTACTTTTATCCCGTTAATGAACAAAAAACCGACGACCGATTTAGTGCTTTGCCCATAATAGATTGAGCTAAATGTTCAGCTTTCCGATAAAACTCGACGAAATTAAGGTGTTCAATATATAAAAAACGCACCGAGCTACAGAACTTGCATAATGATAGAAGCGTTTGCTCGCTGGCTCTTTGGGTGACTCATAGTATTGCTATGCTGTTCGATTTCAGTTTGTTTCTCATTGACGATTTTCAAGAAATTTCCAGTCCACGATCGAACTGGTTTGGAAATTTAGCGTGAACAAAGTTACTTTCTCGGGTAAAGATAAACGAACATCGCCATTCATGGGGCGATTTTTGAATGCTAAATTAAATACTCGCTCTCCTATCAACCGTTTGTTAATTGTCATAAAACTTGAAAACCTTTGTAGCTTGTGATATATTGTGAGTGGCTGCACAAATTTCCAGATCATCAGAATCAAAGTAAACCATTCGCAAAATTTGTCATGCTTTGTGAATGCTCCACTTTGATTGCACTATTAAGAGCGACGGAAAATTCGCGCTTTTACTTAACGGCAAACTTTCCTTTAAAAATTCATAACTTCCCATTTAGAGCAAGCAGCAACTTGAAACTTTCACACCCTATAGAAGACTCATGTGGTTAACAGTGCTGTGATGTGATGCGTAAATGTGATCCTAGCAGAACACCCTTTTTTTACATAGTAAAGCAGTCTACTG